CTCAATTTGTTACTACATACTCTGTCTAGAAGCCCATATTTACGGACTAGCTTTAGCAGATCGTCCCCCAGACACTCTCGTTAAAAGCATAAAAGACCTCTATAGACGACTTTGGCAGCCAATGAGTTAAGAGTGCAGGATAAGTATCAGTGAGCTGTTTTTGTCACCAGTAAACTGGGGAACAATGGGTTGGAAAATTGGGATTAGCTCTGTGAAGGCGTTTGTTTTTTTTTCATGAAGAAAAGACTGAATAGACACACAACTAAAATGTAAATACTCAGAGTATCTACACACCTGGATTCCATTGTGGATGAAGCCTCGGCGGTATCGGGCAGGCCTCAGATGGGGGTATTCTTCAGTGCTGGTCACTCTGATTCCCCACACAGACTTCCATGCCTCGTAAAGTTGGCTGTGAACAGGATAAACACCCGAGTGGTGTGGGGCTACTGCATAGCCCATGTCTGTTGGTATGCCATGCTCCTGGAGAGAGATGTAGAGCAGAAAACGGGGCAAAGTCAGAGTTTTCAGGACAAAAAAAATCTAAGACAATCTCTAATGTCCCTCATCATATTCCATGTTAATGTAGCATTCTGCTCTCAAAACTCCAGACGTTTCTGAGCTTTATTTGCTTCCATTACTTCTTAACCACTGCCAGCTTATTTTCCACTGAAATAAAAGACATGTACAGGACTGTCTCAGAAAATTTTAATATTGTGATAAAGTTCTTTATTTTCTGTCATGCAATTAAAAATCATGAAATGTCATACATTCTGGATTCATTACAAATCAACTGAAATATCGCTGATTATGGCTTACAGCTTAAGAAACCCAAATATCCTATCTCAAAATATTAAAATATCGGATTTTTGAGTTTTCTTCAGCTGTACGCCATAATCAGCGATATTAAAACAATAAAAGGCTTGCGATATTTCAGTTGATTTGCAATTAATCCAGAATGTATGACATTTCATGATTTTTAATTGCATGACAGAAAATAAATAACTTCATCACCATATTCTAATTTTCTGAGACAGTCTTGTAGAGAGAAAATTGAATTATGTGTGTCTGCTTCTATTGAAAGCAACCACATATAACATCTCCAGAAGTGATAAAAGAGGCTACCGACATAGTGGCCCAGCGTTTTTCACTCCATCTACCACCTGAGACATCTACCCAAATTTATATACTGGAGCCCAGTTGACTCAAAGTATTTAAGTCTAATGGAATACACCTGAACATGTTTTCCATTTGTGATTTTCGAGCAGCCAGTGGAAAATACACATTCAAGTAAAAATAACAAAAACTGTAAACCGTTTTATTTGAAAGTCTACAAAAGACATAGTGCCCTCCACAATTATTGGCACCTCTGTTTAAGATGTTGTTGAGGACTTCTGAAAATTCTCCTTTTTGTTAAAACAACATAGAACCCAAATGCAAAAAAAGAGAAAAATCCAACCCTTTATTTGGGTACATTATTTTGGTGGTAAGAATAAAAAATGTTAAATCATGTGTCCCACATCAATTGGCCCCCCTAACAGTTATGCTGAAAAATGTAATCGATTTCCTTTAAATATATTTTTTCTGTAGTTCTTGCAAAGAGGAATG